TTTCTGCTCTGATCTTTATAATTTCCTCCCTTGTACAAGCTTTGGATTTGTCTTGCTCTTCTTTTTCTAGGAGCTTAAGATTCAGCATTAGGTGGTTTAATAGAGCTCATTCTGTGTTCCTAGTGTGGGCATTCAGTACTATGAATTTCCCTCATAGAACTGCTTTCATTGTGTCCCATAGATTCCTGTATGTTGTATTGGCATCATCATTTAATTGTAAAAACTGTCTAATTTCTTCTTTCATTTCCTCTGTGACCCATTGGTTGTCCAGGAAAGTACTATTCAATTTCCATGTGTTTGTGAAGTTCTTGTGATTTCTTATGCTGTTGATCTCCAGTTTAATTGCACTATGGTCTGATAATATACATGGATAACTTCAATTCCTTTGCATTTACTTAAACATGTTCTATGAGCTAGTATGTGGTCTATTTTGGAGAATGACCTGTGTGCAGCCAAAAAGAATGTATATTCTGATTCTGTGGGGTGGAACACTCTGTAGATGTCTACTAAGTCCATTTGTTTAAAAGTTTGGTTCAGTTCTAGTATTTCATTGTTCAATTTTTGTCTAGATGATCTGTCTATTTGTGACATTTGGGTATTGAGGTCCACCACTATAATTATATTAGTGCTTATTTGATTTTTCATGTCCATTAATATTTGTTTTTTATAGATGGAGGCATTAGTATTTGGTGCAAATATATTTATGATTGTCATCTCTTCCTCTTGGATTTTTCCCTTCACAAGGATGTAGTGTCCTTCTTTGTCTCTCTGAATTAGTTTTGGTTTGAAATTTACTTTGTCTGCAAATAAGATAGCTACCCCTGTTTTTTTCCAGGTTCCTTATGCATGGAGAACTGTTTTCCATCCTTTTACTTTCAGTCTATGAGCTCCTTTTTGAACTAGGTGCATTTCTTGTGTACAGCATATTGTTGGGCTTTGCTTCTTAATCCATTCTGCCAGTCTATTTCTTTTAATTGGTGAATTGAGGCCATTAACATTGATGGTTATAACTGATATGTACTGACTTATCATTGTCATGTTATTGTCCTGTTGTTGGTTCTTTTTTATTTTTTTCCCTCTCCTTTTAATTTCTTGCCTTGCCTGATGAATTTGTTCTGTTGGGCCTCTTGGAGATGTGACTTTCATTATCTTTTTCTGGGATATGTTTAGAATTGTTTGGAGTGCTCGTTTTGTATTCATGAAGTTTCTCAGGTGTTCTTTGTCATGGAAGTATCTTATTTCTCCATCAATTTTGAGAGATAGTGTTGCAGGATACATCAGTCTAGGTTGGAGGTTGTTTTCTTTTAGGCCTTGAAATACCTCACTCCAGGCTCTCCTTGACTTGAGAGTTTGTGTTGAAAAGTCTGCTGCGATTCTGGTGGGCTTTCCTTTGTATGTGATTTGTTTCTTTTCTCTAACTCCTTGTAGTATTTTTTTCTTCTGTTGGGTTTGCAGGATCTTGATTATTATGTGTCTAGGCATAGATTTTTTTTTATCATGGCTAGTCAGAGTGTTATATGCCTCACTTATTGTGTCTGTCAAATTCTTTTACTCTATTTGGGAAATTTTCTGTCATTAATTCTATGAACAGTTTTTTTTATGTCATCTGTACTTTCTCCTGCGTTTTCATGGACTCCTATCAGTCTTATATTATTCTTCTTTGCATCATCTAGGAGCTGTTGGGTTGATTTCTCATGGGTCCCTTACTATTTTTAAGAGATCTCTCTTTTCTTGGTCACTGACCACCATCCTGTCTTCTAGATCTGATATTCTGTCTTCAGATTGGCTCAGTCTGCTGTGTATGCTTTCAATAGAGTTTTTAATCTCCTGGATATCTGTTTGAATCTGTTTCATGGATTCCATTTCTTTCCTATGTTGGGCATTTGTGGTTTCCATTTCTTTCCTATGCTGGGCATTCATGGTTTCCATCATGGTCTTGAGCTCATCTATTCTTTTTAATCTGTTTCTGTTCTCAAGTCTCTA